CCATCAGATCAGGTCAACAACACCGAACCACTGTACTATCAACGAAAATAGAAATACTTGCAAAGTTTCAAGTCAATATGACAATTAGAAGTAGGTTAAATTCATCATTAGTTGTTTTTCCACCCTTAGGGGTGGTATTTTTTTTTGAAATTTAAATGGGATCAATCTGGGAGTATACCCTTTCAAACAAAACAAAAATTGTCCAAATCGGTTAATAAATGACGAAGTTCTGAGGTAACAAACATAAAAAAAAAAAAAAACATACAGTCGAATTGAGAACCTCCTCCTTTTTGAAGTCGGTTGAAAATTATCAGAAAGGTTTTTTGATGAAAAACTCTTGTCAGCTAATATAATATTGCGAATGGCGTTTTTACTACACAATATATGTGTGCTTAGTATTTAGGAACAGTGACATTTCATTTAAATAACATTTCAAATTAGTGTCAAGTAGAATATTATTTGTAGAAAAAACCACATAATAAAAAGTAGGAGATCCGATGTATGTAGTTGACCCCTCCCCTTGAGAAATATATTTATTAAACAACAAAACATAATATTAAAAAAGACGACCGTGGATGGTGGGTTGTCACGAAAAATTAGCTCTAGGCTATTTTTAATTAAAAAAACATCTCATCTTTCTAGGACGAGGAGGATTGAAAAAAAAACGTGTGTGTGTACTTATGTACGCACGTAAGAAGTTATACTTCTTTGGCGTAACAGAACAAAAATAGCTAAAGATTGCATCCCGTATGCCACAACTCTCTGTTTGTAAAAGGAATGCTCCTAACTTCATCATGTCGCTTTTTGGCTGTCGATGTGCGCGCGCATCGTAAAAATACTCTCATAATTTAATCCAAATGTGCCAAAAGAAGTATAACTTCAAAAAATTGTTTATAAAATGTAAGCCTATCCTACTTTGCGCTTTACTATACACTAAATACAATATATATATATATATCTATACTTATTATAAAAATAAGTCCCCCGGCCGCGTCTTTCTGTCCTCCTGTCTGTCCTCCTGTCTGTCCTCCTGTCTGTCTGAACGCGATAAACTCGAAAACTACTGAACGGATTTTTATACGGTTTTCAACAATAGAAAGAGTAATTCTTGAGGAAGGTTTAGGTATATAATTTATTATGCTTTTATGTAAATTAGCTGAAATACGGCGACAAATGTTGAAGAGGTCGCAAAAAATCTCGCCAAATGGGAACTTTCCACGCGAACGCCGCGTAAACTAGCAAAGATACAGTTAAGTAATGTACTAGAGAATTCAAAATCTATAAAAATGCTACAAAAAAGTCCGCGATAGCATATCTCTATCTCTTACGGTTGACTTACAATAACCACTTTTATGTTAACATTTTTAATTAAAAACATTACGTTATTTTCAAAGTTATTTTCTTTAGTTCGGTATTAATCCTTATCCAAATGAATATTTTAGTTAGCTTAGTCATTTAATGCAGATTAAAATTGCTCTTTACACTAAATCAATCAGATGAATAGTTTTTGAGATATCGTTGTTAGAAGTAATTAGTAGCGAAACATTTTTAATGCTTGGCGAGCATTGAGATGCCTACGGCGAGTCCATCCCCTCTGCCCCGCATCGCTCGACCGCCTGCTCAAGCTATATAAACCGGGCGATGTAGCGCGCGATCCTAGGATACTTTTTACCGCGGGAAAATATCTTATTTCTGAGGAAAAATACAAAAACTGCAATGTAAGAGTATACTAATATGTAACACCTAAGAATTTAGTTTTTGGTCATCTGAACGCGGGCGGAGCCGCGGGCAATGCTAGTATAATATATATATATATATATATATATATATATATATATATATATATATATATATATAATATAGGTGAACCAAATGAACGGAAGGTAATTGGTAGAAAAGTACCTACCTTAAATATTAAAGATATCAAGTTTTGCTTAAAGCAAACATTACTTTATTTTAAAAATATTACTATTTACCCTGTCGATCAGTTTGATAAAATAGTGACGTACCTTTTTGCAATTGTAGCCGGTTCGATTACCGGCTCTGGTAAGCTTTTTTTTTAAATATTTAAGTTTAGCTTTTAATATTTTTTGTGTAGTGTTTCCTTTGTGTGAAATACGTTTGTTCCATCCTGTATACATAAAGTCTTATTTAAGTTCTTACTAACAAATAAATCTATAACAATAAATTCTCGATAGCTTTACTCTGCACTAATTTGACGTTTATTTGTTTTGTTACAGATATCATCAGCTGTTTCCAATATTTAACGACTGAACATCGGAACATTGTTATAGTGATGTGAATTAAGATATCGATATAAGGACAAAATCGATTCTCATATTTTAATAAATTCTAAGTAAGAATTAGTGCTGTGTTTCGAAATGTGTATCTTTTTATAAATGTAGATAAAAAGAGTGGTTTAAAATGTTTTTAATATTAGATTTGTTAAAATTAGTCATCTGTTTTTTGTGCTGTGTAAGAAGTCAACAAGAAGTCCTTATTGAAGAATCATGTACGTATTCTTTTATTATTTACTAACTTTAATGTAATTACTTCAATAAATAATAGCCTATGTGTTTTTGCAGGATATATATCTATTAACATTCTAAATTTCACTTATATCCGTGGAGATTACAGCGTGAAGACGTGAAGACGTGAACAAACTAAGTCTAATTTCACGCTATGAATCATGATACATCTTTACAAACAAACTGTCGTAATTCTAATATTAGTGTGATATAGCTACTAATATTTCAAATGCGAAAATGTAACTCTGTCTCAAGCAGATATCACGGTTAAACGTCTGAACCGATTTTCATCAATTTTGGGTATATATTAAATCTTGCGGAGGAAAATAGGTCATTTTAACTTTAAAAATTAACCTTCATGTACCGAAACACAATGAAAAAAGAGAAACAAATGGAAAAATTAAAAATATTTAATATCATGAAATTAAATGAAGGGCCTTTAGGCTATAAATAATTAAAGGGCTAGGGGACAAGATGCCATTCTATAATTGTTAAGGAATTAAGGAATAGAAATATAAAAATTGTATTGTTATGAAAATTGTAATCTTTATGTCACAGAATTCTTGAATTCTTACCTACTAGCGACTCGCCCTCGCTTCGCTTGGGTTCGTCTGTAGGTACGTTTTAACCGACTTTCAAGAAGGAGGAGGTTCTCAATTCGTCGGAATCTTTTTTATTATGTATGTTCACCGATTACTGAAGATGCCTGGACTGATTTGGTTTTTTTTTTGTTTCGAAGTGTATATATACTTCCCTTATTACGTCTACACTAAAAATGGAAAATGAAAAACTTAAAAAAATACCACTTTCAGGCAATAAAATGTAAATAATATAACGTAGGTAAAGGTAAGTATATCTAATAGGTAAATATGATTAGGTATGAACTCTAATATGGTTAAAGTATTATCCATCAATTTATAATGTACTTTACCTATCGAAATATATTAGATTTGCTCTGCATCGGTTGGCACCGACTTCGAAAATATCTGATTAAGTATCTATTCTAAATGAAAACCCCCGTTTAGTTATTTTTTACATTTTAGTGCCGGGAAGTCGGTTTTTTTTTAAGTTTTTATAACGTAACCGTTACTATATATTAACGTATATAATAAATAGACTTTATTATATTTTATATTATATACATAGGTATGATTTGTTGTGGGTTGTATTATAACGTGATTTCCCGCGGGAATGAGATAATCTCCCTCGGTTAAATGTAGCCTATGTCACTCTCCAGCCTTCCTTCTTCTTTTACTATCTTCAAAGAGAAAATCACGCCAATCTGTCACTCTGTTTCGACGTGAAAGAAGGACAAACAAACAAACACACTAGATTAAATATATTACCACATTATATTAATTTGTTTCATCAATCCTGAAAATTCGTCTGTTTATTGCAGGCATAGACTTTCTTAACCCCTTTTACACTTTTCTTCTTAATCTGAAAGTTCGTTGAAGTGCACTACGCTTTTCTATGATTTGTAAGTAGTATTTCATACAAAATACTCACCTTGGACTTAATAGTATGTAGGTACTCAGCTCTTTTAAACGTCTCACTGCTTGGCACGATAATTATGGGCCAAGAGAATAGGACTTAATATTAATCCGAAAGTCTAGGGTTCGAGTCCCTGGGTGGGGCTTAACTTTATTATTGAGTCTTTCTGTTAAAGAAACTATTAATTGACTTAACATAATGAATAGTTAAAAAAAGCTTATTTGTATGTACTGTCTATCCATCGTAAAAGGAAAAAATATGCTATGTTAATGGTAAGTTATGTAAATTACATATTTATTTATTTAACACATTTTTAGTACAATTATCCCTAGGTTTATGGTGAAAAAAAAAAACATAATGAAGAAACCTGTATGAGAGAACCTAACTATTCGATATGTGAAGCCCGCTAACCCGTACTTAGTCAACTTGGTGGACGAAGGTTTGATCCCCAACACTTAAAGAATGCCCACGCCCAAAAGTGGGACGTTAAACATAAAGAATCATATATTACTATGAAATTTCTTTATAAAAATATTATTATATATGATATTCCATATTTAAGCAGTTTAAATTTAGATCCCAGTACAAACCTTTTGCCCCAAATTAATTGAGGTAATTAAAACAAATATCACGTCCACTTCACAGCCGTGACGCTTTCAACGGGCTAATATTCATGATAATGTTATGTTTGCAATTGCGACGAAAGCTTGGCTATTTTTGAACCAGTGTCATCAGAATTGTAATTTTGAACTAAAATTGTTAGAATAAAGTAAAGAAATATTACTTATTTAGATAAATTTTATTTATTTAAAGAAATATAATAGTAGTGATAGATATTATCGAATAAGGCTACTATTTAGTGTAACTAATATTTAAAAACAACGTAATAAAAATTATAAAATTCAATAATCACAATATATATTTTATATATTAACAGGAAAAAAGAACTGGCGGAATATATTGCGTAAAAACATTTTAGCAACACCCCCTATGTTTTGCTTCCTCAGAACCTTCCTTATTGACACATTTACAATCGTCACATCTTTTAAATCCTCCCTTTCCGTCACGACAAACGCAGATACAAGACGCGCCTTTAGTAGGGATGCAAACACATCCGTCTTTCTTGCATTTGCAGATAGAACCCTCGCATTCACAATCACCGCAACGTATTATGTCACCTTTCTTATCAAGACAGACGCACACACAAGGCTTTCCATCGGTTTCGATGCAGCAACATCCATCCTTGTCACATTTCTTCTTAGATGCTTCAGGGATACAGTTGCAATCGGTGCATTGTTTAAATCCTCCCTTTCCGTCACGACAAACACAGATGCAAGACGCGCCTTTAGTAGGGATGCAAACACATCCGACTTTCTTGCATTTGCAGATAGAACCCTCGCATTCACAATCATCGCAACGTATTATGTCACCTTTCTTATCAAGACAGACGCACACACAAGGCTTTCCATCGGTTTCGATGCAGCAACATCCATCCTTGTCACATTTCTTCTTAGATGCTTCAGGGATACAGTTGCAATCGGTGCATTGTTTAAATCCTCCCTTTCCGTCACGGCAAACACAGATGCAAGACGCGCCTTGAGTAGGGATGCAAACACAGCCGTCTTTCTTGCATTTGCAAGTAGAATCCTTGCACTCGCAATCGTCACACCGTACAATGTTCCCCTTGTTGTCCAAACAAACACAAATACAAGATTTGCCGTCCGTCGGAATGCAAATACAACCATCTTTGTCGCAATTCATATCGGAGCAACGATTCATGTTGGTGTAACAGCAAGACATTTCGATTCTTATATGATTTTTGATGAACCTGTAATGACAAAAAAAAACGTTCAATGGTTATATTGTGATAACAAATTTTAACAATCATGTAAAATAAAATTGTCGATTCTTGAACAGATGGCGCCTACTAAATTTTTTGTGCAAAAACAAATTATGTATATAGTTTTCAAAACATTTCAACGAAAATATTAATTTTAAGCTATTTGGTTACGTTTCATTGGAGGAACATAATTTTTGAGCTACTTATTAAAATAATATAGATATTAATGTGTGGAACTAAAGTCTGGTTCGGTCTCACGTAGGATAAATAGATAATTATTGTATTACAATATTGTATACAATTATTATTTTTAAAGAGCAACTGTTGAGTTTCACGCCGGTTGTTCTCAGCAGAACTGCATTCCTAGCTGGTGAAAGATTCCTCACGGACTGACTACACTGACATTTAATTGACGATTCAAAAGAGAGTATATTTGAATAAAATATATTTTGGTTTGATTTGATTTGAAAAGATACAATGACTTCAATTTAGCTTAAAACTAAAAGGAATAATAACAGGAATTAAGTGGAGGATTGTGTTTTTAATTTATTTGGGACAGTTCTTTAGTTATAAACTATTAATTAAAAAAGTTTTATGAAAATCTGTTCATAATGGAGAAGTTTCCCGTTTTTTTTGTTTAAATTATAAAAAAATATAACAAAAATATGAATGAATTATTAAAATATCTCAACAAATGAAAATGTTATGAAACTTTAAAGTTGCGCTTGTAAGAATAATTTAGTGACGTCACACGACCTGAACGGCCGGAATTCAAATTAATTTCTCAGTCATTTATTGATAGATTTCGAATATATTTATTTTTTTCACTATTTTTTTAGTTTTGATCTATATTATAATTCTATTGCCTTAAATATGATATTATCAACATCATGAAACTTCTCCATTGGCGAAAGTATCGCGTAATATGCACAGCAGAAACGATGCCTCACTTATTAATTTCGATAAAGTAATTAAGGAAAAACCATATACCAACAAAATAATTAACGAACAAATGATTAATCTAGATATTTACGTAATATCTAGTCAATGTACATAATATCTAAGTACATTAATTGGATAAAGTGAGTAATGAGACAATTAATCAAATAATGGAGCTTATCGCTAGGAAATAGAAACAAAGTAATATATTTTAATAAATATTTTATTTATCAATCAATCCTGCGAAGTTAGAACTGCTGTTTTTCACAACGAAACGCAAAACAAATATAACAAAAATGTAGTACAGTTAAAAATAATAAAATCAACATAGTATATTAATTGCCAGGTGTATTGTAGCCTTTTACGTTAAATAAATACAAGTAACGTTTATGAAATTGAAATATTTCCATTTCAACTACATATATTTATTTAGCGTCAAAATATATATATATATATATATATATATATATATATATATATTTATTGTATCAATGACATTTTGCTTTAAATTATTTAGATTTTTGTTCCCGATGCTTCGAATACTTTACTGTTTTTGGGTTTAAGTGTTATAGTTTTTTTACTTATTTCGAAAACAGACATGCAGGTTTCCTCACGGTGTTATCCTTCACCGTACGATAAGTTTTAATCATGTTAAAAATTCAAATGCTCAACTCGCAAGAATTGTGCTTTAATTTGGAACAAAATATGCACCGATGGGCACCGATGTACAATACAATACGATAAAGTACAATTTAAAAAAATACCTAATAATAAATAATTCTAATTAGAGTTTCTGTACGTTTACAATTAGAAATTATTTCATTTGGGTTGATTTTATTATATTTATATTTATTATATAAAGACCACCATTTTTAGAACTTAAAAACACAACGGAGTAAAACTTAGAAGAAATAATTTTGGTAATATGTATTGTCAAATATCGACGTAAATATAAAAAAAATTGAATACTTAATATATTAAAGGTTATTAAGTCTTAACTTTCATTAATTAAACATGGTTAAAGCCATTGGACAACTGTTGTATATGTACAAAATCCATCTATACTCATATAAAAGTAAAGAGTTTGTCTATTTGTTTATTTAAACGTTCTGGATCTACTAGTTCGATTTGAAAAAAGCTATGTGTTTAGAAAGATTATTAAAGGCTATCTTAGTTAATTCTACAAAAATAAAACGCGAGCGGAGCCGCGAGAATGTGCTAGTGCTATTATAAAATAGTCTAAAAATTTAAAACTATACGATGTAAATAAACAAGATAATAAAATCAACACTTACTCCAAACGCGTATTCACTGTCAACACTGACTCACGTACTATATAGTAATATACTGATAACAATGCTTTTATATATGAATCGTATGTTCCCGTGTGCAAATGATATGGCGTAACGACTAGTGCCGTGTGCCTTAGTACATATTATGACTCGTATCAGTTTAGCTAAATACTTGAATTTTTATCTATTATTATTACTAATATAGATTTGTTTGTCCGTCTGTCTGCTTTTTACTGCTAGCTTTCTACCTAAGTGGTGGAATAGGGCTGATTAAGTTTTTAGTTTAATTATAAAAAATGTTACTGTAGATTTTATCTATTGATATTTATCGTTTCTTAGTTCTCCTGTTAATCCATTTGTTTGAGTTTAAAAAGTATTTTTGTGTCTTTTGTTGTATTCATTCATTAAAAAAAAAATAAAAAAATCTGTCTGATTTGGAATAATTCCAGAGCGTTATCTTTCTGCCTTCTCGTTCTCAAGATAAAACAAAAAAAAATAGATCGATTACAAAATCACTAAAAAAAAATATTCAGCCCCTAAGGGTTGAAATGAAAATTTTGTGGATCCATCCTTGAAATATAATAAACACTAAAAAGCCGAGGTCATGTAGACGTCGGTTTTGTAAACAATTTTCAACACTTAAAACGGTGTATTAAAATAACAAAAACTAACTTATTCTACTTAAAATAGGTGTTGATGAGTCATAGGTAAATATATCCTTATTGAGGAATGATTTTCTAAAATTTTAATGAGGAATAATTTATTAAGGAAACATGGATACGTTTCCTTAAAAATGTGTACTAACATATAAAGCTGCAGAGCTTGTTTTTTATTTGTTTGAACGCTAAATTACGCAAGCGAATCCGCGAGGAAAGGCTAGTATAGTAGTACTAGATTTCTACTATCAACTTTGTTCAAATGTGTGATTCTCAGTTCCACTAAATATGGCTGCTGCTTTTTTGTTTTAAGATAGTGTTCTAATTTTTTTGAGGGTAGGTCACGCGATATATTATCTAATTGTAAATACTCGTAGATTTATATCTTAACTGGCATTTTTTGAAGCCATTCACGAAAAAATATAAATTGATTTTTTATGCTTTATTCATTCATTAATAGACTAAACTCAAGGGTAACAGCATATTAATTTAAAAAATCGGTGAACTGCGAGTCGAATTCGCACAGGAAGGGTTCCTTACCATCGTACATGTACTTTTTATTAATTAGACTTTTATTCTATGTATGTAGTATATTTATATTTGTTGTTATAACCGCAATAGAAATACATACTCTGTGAAAATTTCCAATCTCTACCTATTACGGTTCATGAGATACAACCCTCTGACAGACGGACGGACAGACAGCGGAGGCTTAGTAATAGGGTTCTGTTCGTACCGTTCGGGTACGGAGCCCTAAAAAGAAATCCAGAGTAACAGTGGAATAACTAAGTACTTTTAAAGGATTTCGATGTCGGTAAATGTTTTTTTGTTAAAAATTAATAGGTATTAATATACATACATACGTATAATCCTTATATTTGATTTAAACATTTTTTTTCAAATGCTTATCGATTTCCTATTTCATGATTATCTTATATAACTTTTTTTTATTGCTCAAAAAAGAATTAAAATATGCGCAGTATTTCCAAACATACGAAACGTCACGTAAACAAATTGTGACGTCGGATGCGGTGTCAACAGATTTGTGTTGTCATTTGCATAGTAATTTTGTTATTACATTATTACATTTTTGACGACACGTTTGGCTCAGTTTGTAGTGACCCTGCTTAGTGTGCCAGCGGTCGCGGGTTTGAATCTCGCTATATTTGTATGTACATATTTAAAGTTATATACGTGTTGCAGCATTTTTCGAAATTCATCCTATAAGCGATGAAAGTTTGTATGAAACTACCTTTTTAGAGATTTTTTTTGTAGTTTTAGCGCGAGCGAAGCCGCGGGTTCTGCTAGTAGGACTATAATTATGTGTGTATTTATATTGATAATTTCATTTGAGTTTGATATTCGCAATGTAGTATATGTATAGTCCATTATCACTATTTTTAGAATATTTCATTATTCTATTAACTATATCATATAATCTTACTTGATTGATCTATGTATGTAATGTGGACGGCAAAAAATTTAGATAATGCGTTCGAATCCCGGGTCGTGCCAAGTATAATTATTGTTTTTTCGTCTACAAATTAACTGTAACAAACCAGAGTTTACAGTGGGCTGTGTGCAGAGCACTCAAAGTCATCCTGCGTCTTATCACTCAACGGTTGTGTCAAATTGTCGTCTCACTGTACTTTGAGAGCAAAAGGAATAGAGTGCGTAACGATAGCGAGTATTAAAAAAAAGAAGACAAAAACTCGACTCGTGACCTTTCTCTTAATAGTTTACTTAAAATACTAAAATGTGCTTATCTGTTAAGTTAAACAAGTTCTACATTAAGATTTACAATTTGTCAAAATTGAGCTTTTTATTAAAATAAAAAACTCAAAGCTTTTGATAAAAAGCTTCTTTAATGCCAAACAATTAAAAGCGATACGTGTATTGTTCCAAATTCTACGGTTTGGTCTGACGGCACCTAAATCATTTTATGTACACAATAGAACCGAATAATAAGTCATTTCACATTTTACATTTCCAGTGGATTTATTCAATATAGCCCACATATTTAATCCATCCACGACCGCGGACACGCCGGCGTTACAGTTAACAATAGATTTC